CCCCCCCCCCCCCTCCGATGCCCCTTCCCTCTCCCTTTTCATCACAACAGACTTACCAGCTACGTGTAGCTGTATTGGAAATCAGATCGGTATCGGCCGATATGCCTCCTTAAATGTCGGCTATTGGTATCGGCCCCCAAAATCTCTATTGGTATACCCCTAATTCATACACATAGGAGCACAATCCTCTAAGAGCAGATATCTCTTGAAGGGTGGTTGCAATTTAGAAATCTAGTAATAGACAGATTTCAAAGAGTTCAAAGTAAGTTCAGCTACTACACTTCTGTGAGATCCCTGGATTTTTTTTGTGATTTTAGAACTGTATTTTACTACTGTTTGTCTCTGATCTGCTGCTGCATAGACTAACTACAGGTAGGAGAATAGGGCAGAAACCCTCAGTGCTGCTGCAATGGAGGTGGGGGTGTGCCTCACCCTCCCTCTCATCCTGGCATTTTGCATCTTCTTTGAGATGGCTCTAGCAGCCAGGGTACAGAAACAGCTGAGGAGTTAGCACCAGTGAGAGCTTTGCTTCTGGGAAGCTGTTGCTGGAAGGGGAGGTACCAGTATAGCTAGGAACCAGGTGGTTCATCTCCATTTTTCACCATCAAATTTCAGCTTTTCAATTGCCACACTGCATACATTACTGCAGTGCTGACCCTCACAGGAGCCTGCCCTGGGCACAAACTCTTATGAGAGTTTTTTCCTCTGTCAATCCTGACCCCCCTCTGGACTGTCCCTATGCAAACCTATGCAGACAAAATTGACTACAATGAATCACTGAAACTAAATATACATAGGGTTAGCAAGGACATAAAATTAAAACAATGAAAGACTAAGAAAGACATTTTTTTCTAATGTCTTCCCATTACTGAGTTACTACTTTAACAACAGTAAGCTTAAGAATCATATAGAAATGTGAATTTAGATATACTGGTAATTTTCCCTTTAAAGATAGATGCCATTTGAGAATTCCAACTTTAAATATAAGAATGGAGCACAGCACAAACTCACTTCCATTTCCTTCCCTGGAGAAAGATGACTCAGATTAACTGATCCGCCTGAGTTATGAAACATCTTCACAGGACATTTAGCTTCATTTTGAACTAGCTCTTGGTATTGGTTTACGACCCTGAAAAAAACCAACAGAGGCTTCATTATAGGATTTGAAAAACATTTTTAATTTTTTTGATAAGCAAGGTTTTCTTTTTTGTGATTTTTTTTTGGACTAACTGTATATTTGGGAGATATGTTAAGTAAGCTTTCAAAAACAAAATGAACTTCCTCAGGTCTATTTTTTTTTGCATTTTTTAATATTTTACCTTTTTGTTTTGTATTTTTTTTGTTCTGGATGAACTTTATTTGTCTATTTAATTTTTTTGACATGCAGAAGGCAGTGCAGGGTGATACCTTAGAGACCTTTTGACAAGGGAACCACAAATACTTAAAATGTTTGAGTTGTGATTCAGTTTTATGTTAACATCAATACATTGATTTGCAATATATAACATTTTATATACATATAAATGGTCTTATATAGAGGGGCACAGCATATTTAAACATGTTCTGTCTTTATCTCACTGGGGCTTGAGTCATCAGAGACAAAGAAGGTTGAGAAGCAGTGAAAACAACATTAAAGCCTAAAGCAAAGGAAATCTCATTCCTACACACATTATCATCCAAAACCATGCATTCCATTTATAGGATTTCCCTGTTATCATTGACAGGTTGTTTTTAACCTTTACAGTAAATGTAAGGGGATTCTGACTTTTTAAAAACTTTGGATAACAGGCTTTTGATCTACAAACCATGTATGACAGAGAAGGGTTGCCTGCTCCACTATAACTGTGGAGTCCACTGCAGGTGCACAAGTGTAAGCTAAAAATCTCTTGAAAAGCTGTGTCCACTGCACCTGCATGTGCATCTTGTGTTTTTCATGCTTCCAAACGAAAGAGCATATATAGTGCCATGGTCACAACCCTTGCAACATGAAGTCTGTGTTAGCTGAAGACTCTGAAACCAGAGGTATGCTGAAGGCGTCACACTGACTACATCTCAAAGTACAGTCACTGCAGTGCAACAACAGTGGTGCACAGACCAGCACTGGTCGCTGCACTGCTGACAACACAGTCAGCTACCTGCAGCAGAAGTGCTATTTTTGTGCCCCCTCCCCAGACACACTACTACTATTCTTTCTTCTTCTAGCATCAGTATGGGATCCACTGTACGTGACCGGCTATCCTCTAGAAGGGCCAGAACGAGTAACACCATCTGAACCTCTTGAACAGGCACTGATCTCTCAAATCAAGTACTGGACTCACTGACATAGCCAGTTCCTGTTGTCTTATGAACATAAGCAGACTTACAGATTTCAGATGTTGCAACATTTTGGAGACAGACCAAATATGCTGCTTCAGGTCTGGCAGAGTAAGCCATGATTGACTGGTAAAGAGGTACACCTACCAGCTGGCAGCTAAGCGTAACACTAAGTTATCCATTTAGACAGTCTTTGCAATGAAATGGCTTGGCCCTTGGAGTGAGTTCATAGCGCCACATACAGATTTGAGGAAAATCTGAAAGATATAGTCCTATCACTGTCGTGCACCATGCTGAATTATAGCATGCTGACTTCTTCCCCTGTGAATACTGAATATGCAAGATGTAAAGAAGTCCTTAATATCACTGCAGGAAGAAGAATCTGGTAGCAAACGTGAGCTCACATCTCTTCCGAAGCAGAAGTTAACACACTTCACATGATCTCTTACAGCATTCCATGGAGTAAGTACTGGGAGTAGAAGTCTTTGTCTTGTAATTCTCATGGGACTTCTCAAAGGGTCTCTCTAGAAGGTTATAGGGCAAGAGAAGGAATAAGATAGGGTAGCCATGTGCAGTATACCTGTTTGTCACTAAGACAATCTGCTAAAGTTAATGGAAGGAGACAAAACAGGTGCCAAACCTTGTTGCTATATACCTTTTTTGGGACATGACTTATGTCAGATTTGTTAACACCGGGATGGAGACTGCTGGATGACAAATTATGTCAAGGACAGTAATTTTATTAAGTAGCAAAGATAATTGGATTTGTGGGCTCTCTGGACGGCTTGCAGGATGGAGTCTCTTGCCTGTCTCTTACCTAAAAGACCTATGGTATAGGAATGCACTTTGGATTTCTAGAGATTTTAGTATGGTTCGAAGGAATTGGCTAGAGCCACAGAACTGGCTGGAGCTTCATCAATTGTGATGCTGAAAAGTACATTTCCTAAAAAGAGTAGATTTTCAATGGTTGTCTAGACACGGCTAGAGAGAACAGATGCCTGCAGCCAACAATCCTGACATAAGATGATCTTGGCACATGATGACGACCCTCACCATGACGCTGGTGGCCACATGCAATTTGTCTTTCACTGCTTGCAGAGCACTGCTGGCCATGATCTGACCTCCTCTTGCTACAGGTATCAGTTCCTCTCTATGTTCTGCAGTGAGCTTGGAAGCAGTAAGATCCTTCCCACAAAAATGTTGTATTTTGTGGATAAAGTTTGATATCTTGCAATCCTAGCTTGTAGGAAAACCTAAAAGAAAATACCAATGATCCTGCTAGTAGATGGGCGTAAAACTGCTTAGAACTCTTTGAATGGGCTTGGTATTGCTTTTTTACCTTCTTTTAATGTAGAGGTAGCTGAGACTAGTGTGAACCAAAGGTTGTTTGCTAAGTTACATAAAGCCCTTGGTTTCATACAACCTGTTGGCATTGAAAAGCTCAATATATCCAAGTGTTTTTCCAAGTCAGGGTACTTTCCTGGTATCTGAGGTGAAGGGATCCAGCTTCTTCTGTCCAGAAGCTGATGTTAAGGATGGTGATGCTGGAGGCTCTGGTGCTGACTTTGCCAATTTTTTTGGTCATCACTGCTCACTAGAACTACAGGAGTGTCCAATGGCAGGGTTGCTCACAGATTATAATTCTGCTGTTGTAAACTTGCCATGGCTTCTTTCCAGGGGTCTCAGCCTACCTTTATCAACTGCTACTACTGCTATTATACTTAAATAAATGCTGACTGGGTTGGACAGACTCAAAATTGCTGTGGCATGGGGGAAATGAGGCATGGTTGTGTCAGACCTGTCACTTTACATCCTCACACGATAGCACAAGGAAGTACACGGCACAGGATCAGCCTTTCCAGACACAGCTATTCAAAAGATTCTGAATTCACACACATGCAGTGCATGTATACCTACAGTGGGATCCATGCAAACCCATACTTGAAGAAAACGTTTATGTTTTCATTCAACGACCCACAATCAATAACCCTACGTCTCCTACAGTTAAACTATAACAAAGGCCTAAATTCTTCTTACTTCTGAAGTGAAAGGACGGCTTTTCTCACAATGCTAAACCAACACTGTCTGAACATATTCAACTGATTACTAAAAGAAGCTGTATACTGAAGTTAAGTTCAAAAGAATAACACTTCTTAGAGACAGATTTGATAGAAAATTGACTTGTACAAAATCTCACAATCAAATTCTACTCCTGAACGTTCCTGTAATGCTACCATTGTTAGGTGAATCAAAAGGCATTACCTGATCCTTGGACTTCCCTAGCAAATAAGACAAGGTGTATGTGCTTCTCACTGCCCCTACGGATAGATTGTTTCTACCTATTTTTCTTCCCAATAAGTCCCCCAGAATTAATTTCTGGGTCATGTAATCTAGATACATTCTGGCCAAAAGGGACAAATGGGTGCAGTGGTAACAAAGTAAAATAAAATATGAACTAATTAACTTACCTTTCAGCATCAGTCTTGGAGCCAATCAGAAACCTAAAATGCCAAACACAGATATTCATTTTTAAACTGAAATTCAGCAACTTGCCTCAAGGATGCAAAACTCTGGAAGAATAGCAAAAGGAAAATCTCTATTTTGATACTTCCTGTCAACTGAGAAGAGCTAAAGCAGTTTGAGAATAGAGAACAATCTGCTGTAGTGTAAAAAGCAAAATGCAAACCTCTACATATCTAAAAAAGAAAGCGATGGTTTGACATATATATTAAAACTAGTAGTATATCTTATAAACAAATGTAACAATCTGCTTCCACAGAAGAACTGTGAGTGCTCCAACAATCATAATGATCTATTGGAAGTTGCTGCCAGGTTTTAGTACACCTATTCTTAATAAAGTAGGATTTATTTTGAAGTACATATATTTTACAAATATGACACGGAATCTAATCCACTAATATCATTTATGATGTAATGTCAACGCTCCTTATAGGAAGTATCTCTGGTCCAATTCAAACCAATTTAGAAGTTGGTATGGACATTATAACCTTTACAGATTAAGGACTAAAGTACTACAAGGTCTATTGCTTTTTCTAGTATTCTAGTGTCTTTTTCTACAGCGCAACTGGGAAACACAACCAATCCATAGATTTTCCCAGCACCAGACTACAATCTCAGGGTTTAGGGAATTCCATTATTAAATAAGAGAATGATATAGTTGTATGTAAAAAAAAGTCATGTACTAAAAAGTTAAGAAATGTTTAAATTCTTTGATTTCTTTTATGATGTAGCGTTTCCAAATTCAAATTCTTCATGTTTTGTCACAAACGACAGCCTGTCATCCCACTTAAATCTGAAGTGTACCCTGAGAACACGCTGAGGTTATAACAGAATTATCCAGGTTGTTTCCATGGATCAAAAATGTTTTTTTTAATTTAAATATGGAGAATTCCCACTACCACTTTTTTATTGTATCCCTGACTTTCTAGGCTGGGATTTTCAAAGCAATCAAAGGAAACTGGGGAGCCAAATCCCACTGAGTTAGATTCATAGATTGTAACGGGCTGGAAGGGACCTTGCAAGATCATTGGGTCCAGCCCCTCTGCACTAGGAAGGAAAGACAACTACGGTCAAGTGACCCCAGCAAGGTGACTGTCCAGTCTCCTCTTGAAGATTTCTAGGGTAGGTGATTGCACCACCTCTGGAGGGAGTTTATTCCACAGTCTGGACACCCTGACTGGGAAGAAGTTTTTCCTAGTGTTAAGCCTGAAACGGTCTTCCAGGAGTTTGTGCTGATTATTCCTGGTTTTTCCCAAGGGTGCTTTGGTGAACAGTTGTTTGCCGAGCCCTTGATGTATTCCTGATATAGCGGTAAGCTGCTACCAAGTCCTCTCTCAGCCTGCTCTTTTTACAGCTGAACATATCCAAGTCCCTCAGCCTTTCCTCATATGGCTTGCCTTGCAAGTCTCTGATCGTACGGGTGGCTCTTCTCTGGACTCTCTCAAGTTTTTCCGTCCTTGTTGAAGCGCAGCACCCAGAACTGGACGCAGTACTCCAGCTGTGGTCTCACCAATGATGAGTAAAGTGGAAGAATCACTCCCTTGGTTTTTCCTGAGTGTATCGGTTGATGCATGTCAGAGTATTGTTTGCCCTGATGGCTACAGCATTGCACTGATGGCTCATGTCCATACTATGGTTCATTATTAACCCTAGGTCCCTTTCAGTCACGGTGCTAGTCAGTTTGGCGCCACCGAGCCTGTATACTGGGGACTGTTTGTCCACAGATGGATCACTTTACACTTCTCAGTGTTGAACTTTATCTGGTTGTGATCTGCTCAACTTGCCAGCCTGTCTAGGTCCACCTGTATCTGCAGCCTATTTTCAAGGGTGACCATGCTCCCCCATAACTTGGTGTTGTCTGTGAACTTGGCCAGTGAGCTCTTCACCCCCACATCCAAATCACTGATAAAGATGTTGAAAAGCACTGGACCAGGCACGGACCCCTGAAGAACACCACTGGCCACTTCTTGCCAGGACAAAACAGATCCATTCACTAGAACTCCTTGGGTCCTATCCCGCAGCCAGCTTCCTACCCACCTGTCAAGCAGTTAACCCCACAATCCTCCAATTTTCCCGTGAGAACATCATGGGATTCCAGATCAAGGCCTTTTGGAAGTCTAGGTATACAATGTCAACCTCCTCTCTCTTATCCAGGTGGCGAGTTACCTGGTTGTAGAAGGAGATGAGATTGGTAAGACAAGACCTGCCCGCGACAAAACCAGGCTGGATGTCATTCAAAATCCTACCTTCTGTAAGCATATTGCACATATACTCCTTGATTAATTCTTCCAGGATTTTCCCTGGGATAGAAGTTAGGCTAATTGGCCTATAATTGCCCGGATCTTCTCTCCTCCCCTTCTTTTAGATAGGCACAATACTGGCCCTCTTCCAGTCTTCAGGGATCTCTCCTGAACACCATGAGTTTTGGAAGAGTTTCACCAGAGGTCCTGCGATGACTTTGGCCAGCTCCTTCAGCACTCTCAGATGAAGTTCATCCAGTCCTGCTGACTTATAAATGTCTAACTTTTCTAACTGATTACACACCAGCTCAGCGTCAACAGTAGGAAGGCAGTCATTCCCACCATGTCTATTCTGAATCTTATCTAGTATGATTTTCGACTTAGTCCAGTTAAGTACTGAAGTAAAAGTCATTCATGAGTTGAGTTTTCTCCAAAATGTCAGTAACCAGCTGTCCTGAGTTAAGCAATGGCCCCACACTTCTATTTGTTTTCCTCCTGTTCCCTACATACCTAAAGAAGGACTTCTTATTGTCCTTGATTTCTGTTGCTATTTTAAATTAAGTCGCTGTCTTAGCCTTTCTAATCTGCTCCCTACAAGTGCAGGCCATTGTTGTATAGTCCTCCTTGGGGACTGTCTCAACCTTCCATTGTTTGTATGCCTCTTTCTTCTTTTTCAAGAGGACCACGATATCCCTATTAAGCCAAGAGGGCTTACTAGCTCTTCTGCTACTACTCTTCCGCATAGGAATAAACTTCTTTTGTGCTTCAAGGATTGTGTCCTTGAGCAACAACCACTCTTCATGCACTCCTTTCACCTTCGGTCCCTGATCCTGACTTCCCCTACTATTGCCATGAGCCCGTTGAAATTCATTTTTTTGAAGTCCAAAACTTCAACCATGATAGCTGATTTTCCTGCCTTGAGACAGACAGTGAACGCTTTGGTTTTGTGGTCGCTCTTGCCCAGGCTACCCTCTACATTCAAGTTGCTCACCAAATCGTCTCCTTTGGCCAAGACCAAGTCTAGGAGAGCATTACCTCTGGTTGGCCCATGCACTTCCTGAGTCAGGTAGAGCTCTTCGATACAGGTCAGGAATCAATGCCATCAATGCGACTTAGCTGAGTGTTCCTACCAAGAGATGTCTGTGTAATTGAAGTCACCTGTGACGACCATGTCCCGTGTATGGGTGGCCTCTGCCAGTTCTTGAGAGAACTCCAGATCAAGCTCCTCCCTGTGGTTTGGTGGTCTGTACTATATACCTACAGTTAGGTCTCTCTCATGCACCCTTCCCCCCCACCCTGTAGTTTAATCCAGAGGGTTTCAAGCCACTCTTCTTTGGAGCTGATGTCATCCTCCAACGAGGTGTACTTCTCCCTCACATAGAGAGCTACGCCTCCACCTTTCTCCTCTACTTGGTCCCTTCTGTGCAGGGTGTAGCCCTCAATGGCTACGTTCCAATCATGTGAGGAGTCCCACCAGGTCTCCGTAATCCCTACTAGATCATAGTGCCCACTGGACTGTAGGAAGGCTAGCTCCTCCTGCTTGTTCCCCATGCTCCTGGCATTAGTGCACACTGTACAGGTACCTGAGTTCCACAAGTAATGATGTGAAATGCTGTACAATACGGTTTGGATTTTCAAGTAAACGTGAGCTCCCCAACTTCCATAGACTTCTTTGAAAATCCCAGGCCTAGGACACAATCTCAAGTCACTACTAGCTTTCTAAGTCAATTTATCTGAAGTGATAAAAGCAGATAATCAGCAATTGGGGCCAGGGTAAAAAATAACTAAAAATGACAGCTTGAAATGATTAACATTAAAAAATAACAGATAGGATAACATGCTGAGAAGCAATAATACATAATGTCAGTTAAGAAAACTAGCTACTTTCTGTGACCAGGCACATCCTTGTGTCTCACTGAATAGGAGCCATGCAGAGAACCTTGTAATATTAGGGCCAGAATGGAATTAACTCTGTCCAGATAAGTCAAAGAATCACTAGGCAGCTGTGCTATAATGTAAAAAGCAAAACTGAGCACGTACATGTCAGCAATAATCTTTGTGCTCTCCTTCTCTCCTAACTGTTGTTTTGTCTTTTAAGACTGTTAAATTCTTCAGATCAGGGGTTATGTCTTTTTACATGTTTGACATCACTAGCACATTTTTAGTGCTCTATCACAGATACCAATAATAGGAATAATGTTGAAAAAAATATCTTGGAAAGGTCCCCAACTGTTTCAACAAATTGAGATTTCATTCTATCCTAATTTTAATAGGGGAGAATGTGTGATTCTGAAGGTGACAAATTAATTTATGCATCACACAAATGCAAATAATCAACTTACTGCTTTTATACTAGAAGACACTGATGTGTAAAAGGTTAGATTCTTTGTTTTCTCCTCAAATACCATAAAATGGTACACTTTCAATATATATATGACTTACTGTGATGGAGTTACTAGGCTCTCATTCTCCTCATCACCTTTGAGTGTCTGTATTTTACCATAGTACAGAGGATTACCAAGAGACTGAAAAATGGTCAGTTTTGTTTTCTGAAGTTGATTACCAACTTCACATTCAAATACATAATCATCTTTTATCTCCTAAAAAACAGAAGAACACTATTAATTAAAGCATATAAAAAACAACAGATAATAGAAAAAACCGATAAAGATATGTCAGGAGATTACAAAAAAATTGGGAATAACACGCTTCAAGTAATCCCTAAAACTCGCTGTGCCTTGGCAAAAAAAAAGAAAAAGGTTACTAGAGAAATTCTCCAACTAACAAGAGGGGACGGGAAAAAAAATCAGTATTACTAATAAATTCGAACTACAGTAAATATGTAAATAAACATGACAGATATTGGCATTGTTCAGCACAGAAACGCATTTAAAAGTTATTTAAGTTAAACAAATTTAAAAACATACTTAAAAATAACTGTATATAACACAGAACAACAACTGAACAAGATGTCACAGAGATCTAAATTAAGTACTGCAGGGAAAAGCATACCATCAATACAATAGGTCAGGAAAAAAAATAAAGACACTGTGGTGAACGCTAACGATAAAGAGCTGGTCATTTATTTTATTAGAAAATATTTTGGGCTTTTTATAATTACATTTATCATTCCCTTTGCACCAGATCATGCAGTTTGCAGCTAAATTAAGGTTTGACTGAGAAAGTGTACAAAAATACCTGTGAAGAAATCTGCGTTAGAAAGTATTTCATTTTACATGATCTCCTAAAATTTACCATTATAATACCGTAAATATAGCTCTCATGAAACAGCTCCTAAATGAATATTTAAGGGAACAGATTTGTCACAAAAGATAACACTACTGCTCCCTATAAAACCCTACATTTTCTTTACTACTGAATTGGCAGCACAGGCTGCTTAAAAAATTCAAGCTGCATCAGTGGCTTTCTGATACTGTACAAGGAAACTACAGTAATTTGGCCACTTAATTATTCCAGTAGGTAGGTGCTGCATGCCTGGTTAAAGGCACATTGTATTATGCCCCTAGAACAAAATGAAGATTAGACAATGTTATTTTTACTATTTTGCATTCCAGTGAGTAATAATTTCTAGTTATTTCTTTTAGTTGAAAAGCACCCCAATGTGTGAAATTATCTCTCCCATGATGATCTGCTTTCCAAATTTCTATTAAAAAAATATTAAATAGAAAAAAAATGTTCCTTATGATTTCAAAGGAACTTCATCAATCAAGGATGATTTTTAAATTTTGTTCAAATGAGAACCTTCTCAACTAAAGAAAGGAAAGTTTGGCCAAAGGTCTAAATTACTCACATGTGCTGGCCAGACAGTTGGTTGTGAGTCATCAGGTTTGATAGACTTTTCCACTTTGGCATATTTTTCCACCTTAAATAAAAAGCAGATATTATAATACACTTTTAACAAGGAGTATATAGAAAAGCCTTAATGATCTGATACTTACTTCGCATATATATTTTTACTAAGGAATTTTCATAAACTTTAAATACATTTGGCAAATTGTGGAAATACAGGTTAAGACTGTGTCAGGTATCCAGGTTGTAGCCATATTGGTCTAGAGGCAAAAGGAATCAGGACTTGTGGTAGAGGTGATATCTTTTATTAGATCAACTAGATTTTTGCAAAAAAGATTCTTTAGTTGCAAGCTTTCAGGTACAAACACCCTTCTTCAGACATAGCAGAAAAGACTGTAAAAGTTCTCCCGGGTAGACCTTTGCCTCTAGACCAATATGGCTACAACTTGGATACCTGACACAGTCTTAAAACTGTGCTTTGCTCAGATAGCAAAGCTGACTTGGAAAGGAGAAAATGGCACACATGTTGCATGTTAAAGGATGCAGCAAAGTCATTTAGGTTTTCTCCCTACTGTTCCTCCTTAGGGCACCAACTCCCTTGCTGGCATGGTACTGAGGTGGTATAGACTTGTAAGAGTACAGGAATGTTCCTGTGCCTAGCTCCTGTAGAAAGATGGGGTAAGAAAGTTCTCCCACATCTTGCACACTACGCATACGCTAGCTCCAAATTAGCAATTTTTTGTATTAACAGTTGAATAGTTTTCAGAACTTTGTAAATTGTAATTATGGTGTAGCCATGTTAAAAATTGAAATGTTCCATAGGCCATGTCCAGACATTCCATTTGTGCCAGGAGTAAGTTGGTCTCTGGGTCTGATCCAAACTGGCCCTGGATTCAGCATGCAGGGCCAGCCTGGTGTAGGTGCTGCACGCAGCTCCAGTGATTGCCCCAGACAGCTCCATGTCCTGTATGCAGCATGTGCCAGATCTAGCCCATGCTCTGTGTGCAGCCCATGCCAGGTGGGCTCCACATGCTACATGCAGCACGTGGGGCCAGGGCCAAGGCCAGTGTGTGCTGCATGCAGCGAGCTGGTCTAAGAACCACAGGCAACACTGAGGCCAGATGACAGGGCTTTGCAGGCTGGAATCCAGCCTGTAAGCTGCATCTTTGACACCCCTGCCACAGTTAAATAATAGTGCAATGTAACTGAAGGCAGCTTTCGGTTTTATAACTCATTCACAGAATGCTACATAATCAGCTATGTTTTAGTTTGAATTTTACACCTTTCAGTGCAGCAAAAAATTGTAAAGATTATCCTATTCATTTTAAACTATTACTTGATAATGTACACTGCTATTTTTTAATTCAAAACAGAAGATAAAAGCAATGAAAGATGAAGTTCTTAAAATGTCTTAGCTCCCCATTCTTAAATTATGTTGTATCAAAGACAATCATTACTTACTGCTTTGTCATTTATCTTCCTTTTTGACTTAAAGAAAGTTGAACAAACATGTTTTTTTGCCTGACACTAATGTGGTTGGGAACAAGTGAACTTACATCCACTTCAGAAGGAGCAGACAAGCAGCAAGGATTCTGTTTCCACATATCTACACACTGCAAAGAGAAGGAAGAACACAGCATTGTGTTTAGGGATATTATGACTAAATACAAAAATAGATTAAATGCAAAAATGGTTTAAATACAAACATTGATTAAATATTCACCCATCCAACCTGGAATGTACTTACATTTCCAGCTTTAGAAATTTTGAGATCATATTGTTGGGCTCCTTTCCTTTCCTTTCTTTTAGGTAAGTAGTCAAGTATTCTCAGTTGAGGTGGAGTCGGACAATGAGCCACATCCTGCTGCCTATTCAGAGATGACCTGGAGTATCTCTTAAAGCACCTGCAACAATTGAGAGATAAGCTCATAAAATACCTACCCATGGAAATACCCTATCATGTACATGCAAACACATACACAGGAAAAAGCCATTAACACTGCAGCTAAAAGATATATTGGGCAATACTTAAAAAAAAATGATTTATTTTACTGTATTATAAAGCAAACTATTAATGCTATTGTTACTAGAAAAAGTCTGTGGCAGATATTGTCAGAGTGAGAGGTATGATGGAAGTATTTAATGAATGTTAACAATCGTTTAAATGTAACCAACATGTCATGGTCCCACCAAAATTCCTGTGTACTGCTGATACATTTTTAAAAAGCAAATATGGTACAAATGTAATGAAATTTTCTCTCTGTCCTAGATAAGATTATTTGTTTCATAGCATCTGATGAAGTAGGCTGTCTCCTACAAAAGCCTTTTGGAATGAGTTAAGTTGTTCCACACTACCCCACTTAGTATTTAATAGACAATTTACTCAGTTCCCACTAGTACAAACATATTGATATTAGCATCTGAATTCATCTGATGGTAAAGGAGGCATAATTCTCCCAAAGACCAGTGGATTTCCAGAGATAATGGGACTACAGTCTCTGGTGACTTTTATTTATAGAGTACCATAGACTGTACACGAGTATAACACTGAAGTACCCAAGAACAATATTTACATCTATTCTACTTTTAACGGGTGATTTATACTTTTGCATCATACTGAGTAAACAGTTCTTAGTAAAATAATTGTGAACCATTTCAGGTGACTGTGAAACAGCAGGGAATGCATCTATATGTAAGAATGAAGCTACTCTAACATTTTGTATAATAGTTTGAGTGCTACACTGCTTGGAAAATCATTAACCCCTCTCCAAACAGTTATGGATATACTCAACTTTAAACATACAGAGATGACTCTACTGATTTTCAAGCTAAAATTAAGTTTGTCTATCAAAACACTTAAGCAATAGAAAACAGATTTTTGCTGGATTTTGTCCAGTTCTAGTTCAATGGTTCATATATTAAAATCTGGCAATGAAAATAACATCCCACAGTCACAGAATTAGAGATGAAATACTCTCGAGGTAAACTGCAGCTCTCATATCTTTTTTTGGCATAGAAATGCAAGGCACGTTGAAGATGAAACATTTTTAATACCATATAAATATACTAACATTATTCAAAGCTGCTCTCTGCCTCAGCTCACATTTTGATTCTGAGCCATGGCAAAATTAGATACGACTGTAAGGTAGCAATACAATTTGCTATTCATCATAAAATGGTATATAATAATATATACATACACAAATAAATATTTCTTTTATTTTTATATATTATCAACTGAAATTTATTATAGTTTACGACTTATTAGGTCTTACAGAACTTTCTAGGTGGAAGAGGTTGCTAAATTACACAGAACACATATGCAATAATATTCCGATTAAATGTAGCAATTGATACTGCTGGTGCGCTAAACTTTTAACCTTAAAAACAGCAGAAATTTGTTCTAAGAGCCCTTATTAAAACTTTGTTTAAAAATATAATTAAAACCTCTGCAATTCCCATTTAATAAAAAATAAATTTGAGTATAGAATGTGTATATAAAACATACTATTTTCTTCTTATTTTTTAAAGATATCTAGAGGTTTCTTCATGGCCTGACATATCAGAGACTAACAGTTACCGTTTCATTGGTCGAGTATTCATCTTCTGCTTGTTATAGAGGAGTCTATTTGCTGTGCAGGTTACTGCTATTGAAGGATCAAGACACAGAGGCTCTGCTGTAGCTAAAATAAGCTGGCTTTCAAGTAGAAGTTTATCCTCCTATAGTAGAGAAAGTGCATACATATTAAAAATATGACATTTCATATACTTGACTGGGATTTTATTTCATGCTCGTCCCCATGTTATTGTCGTTGTGTATACATATGTGCATGTACATATATTACTTCAAATAATTTGAAGAAAAATTGCTTTGTACTTTAACCCAGCAAAATATAATACTTATAGTTTATGACTCTTTATATATTACTTATACCATGGAGCTTTTACTTTTTCTACAGGAAAGAAAAAAGACCATTACTGAGAAGTAATATTTTTTTACAGAGTAAAACCATAAATATAGTCTAGTCTATCAAGAACCTATCTTGATGGCATGCCAGTTTCTTCTTTATCAGAAATTATAAACATTAGATAACATGCATTGACTTGAATGTGAATGTACGCATAAAGACACACACTTTGCCAGACTTTACTTTTGATGTTTTAGCTAAATAAAAATGTACTCAAGTTTGCTCTTCTGTCAATACAAGTGAGAAAATGCTGCCAAACAGAAGGGTAGTGTCATTTGACTCATTCAGATGCCAGATACGATTTATATTTGATGAGGATGGAAGGGAGAAGAGTCAACTCATTAAACTAATTCTAATGTTATCATACTACACGGACAAGGATTAAGAACCTGATTCTGCAAAGTGCTAAGCATCTCCCTAGGATACCGAATGCCAAAACCATTCTAGGTTCAAGATATGCTTTGCTTTAGTACAGCATATTTTGCTAAATTATTCTATTGTATCTGTTATCTGTTATATCACTAAACAATTTAAAAATACACCCAAACTCACTTGTGTCCATTTGTGGTTGTCACTGGTTATAGAATGAACATCACATATTAAAGTCTGGTGAAAAAAGACAAAGCTTTCATTATGTGAATATAAGTGCTATAACGCTAAATGTATAATAGAAATCAAAGAAATGTGATGGCCAATACCAACTATGGCTTTATCATAAACAGTGAAGATAAAGGAAGGCTACTTACAGTAAATTAAAGATTTCAATTTGATGCACTTACTTGCATTGTTGGACGCAAAAGAATGTGCTTGCTTTGGTATGTTGGTGATTTCATGTTACCAGACTGTCTGTAGTCACGAATTTCTGCTATGACACACCCACAATGAAAAATATTAACCTGTTTGAAAAAAAAATTGTGAATGCATATGTGCACACATATATAAATAGATGTATGTGTGTGCATGTTTATGTGCATATATATACACATCTATATGTTCAGACTCAAAATAAATATAAATATAAACATTTTATACGTATAAAGATAAACACATTATAACATAAATATGATATATACATATATTTATAATGTAATATAACTTTTACTGCTTATACGTTCTATCTTATATTTACTATTATATTTGCACTTACATTTTTATATTTTATCAGTTATGTTCATGATTATAATGATCAATACATAAACATAATATCTATACATATATAATATTAATATAGATATAACAATATGTATGTAAGTTGTTATACTTATTTTGTGCATTGTATACATGCAATAGACTGGGTGGACTAACAGCATTTTGTAGTTAGTTCCTGTCAGTGGCATAACTAGGGCGGGGTGACTGGGGCAGCCACCCCAGGCAGACTTGGGGAGGGAGGAAAAGGAAGGGTGAAAAAAACAGCTGTTGCTGCAACAACACAGTTGCACCAGTGGGGTGGAAGCAACCAAAAGTTGCTGCTACCCCTGCATGTAGCAGCTGCCCTGGGCACCTGACCACACTGCTAGCAGCATTCTCTCTAAGCTGTGCAGTGTGCGCGGCTCCGCAGGCACGCCTAGCAGTGCGACATGAGCGTGCCTGCAGTCATGCATACTGCGCATCTTAGAGGGAATGCTGACTGTTAGGCCTCTGATTACTGGCATGTAAATTATTTTTAACTAGTAAGCCACTCATGCCATTCACATAGAGTTATTTTATAATTTATGTTTGTTACGTTGTATTTATTTGCATATATGCAAGTCCTAGTTATAAAACTTCAAACAAAATTTAACCCCAATACAAGAGCGTAATTTCTGCTAAAGTCAATTTGAGTGTTGCTGTTAAATCACTTGCTACTAATTATTATTATGGCTGAAGCAGTTCAGTATTCTACATCACTAGGCACCCTCAAGTGTGAGCCCCTATCCACCCAGATCCTACATTACGTTGCAAAAGACGCCTTTTCATGCGCAAAAAGCACAACCAAACCTAAAGGATAAGAAAGAAAAAGCTCTGACTTACTAAATTCATCAAGTTTTAGCTCAAACATTTCATTGAGATGTTCTTTGTCAGACTAAACCACAAAACACCCTAAACATACATGAATTATTATGGATGCCAGGAAGATAGTTTTTTTAGACACTAAATATTATGTGCCTGATGCTGCAAACTGTTTACTGAAGGTGCTCTAAACCAGTGCTTCTCAAACTATCTGGTGTGGCGGACCGACAATTTTTTTTCCAGTGGGCTAGGGACTGGTGCCTGGTTCAACCGGTGGCAGCAACTGCGCGTAACAGCACTACACAAACGTGCGACTGGCTGTTTCTTTCTCTTTCCTCACCTCGCACGATGTGATGTCACCTGGAGTGTTGGAATGTGCAAACTGTGGTGCTATGACATATCAACGTTATGCTTCTGAAAATATATTTCTTTCTTTCCTGGCAACTTGCTGTGGACTGGCGAATATATTTCTTTCTTTCCTGGCAACTTGCTGCGGACCGGCGACCAGTGGCTCGCGAACTGGCACTGGTCCCCACCCCCCGCCACTCTGAGAAGCACTGCTCTAAACCACCCACTTATCAGTGTTTATCAGATCAGAAATGATAAACCTTCTGTGAAGATTTGCAAACCTGAGATTTTTCCAAAAGGTCAACCAAAATAGGTGGTAGCTCCTCTGCATCCAAATATTCAAGCAATTCTCCTTCTTCATAAGGCAGTCGAATGGTCTCAGAATCTGAATTTAAACAAAGAATGTAATACTTTATTTTTCCTTTTCCACTACCACTTTAAAAACATATTTAAAAATAAATCATCAAAATCACTAAAACCAAGTGAAAACTAAATTAACAAGTGAAACTAAAAACTAAAAAAAAATTAAGCTGGACTAGTAAAAACGGACCAGAGTCCCAATTTTGTTTGCGCAGTGACCTTTTTCATGCTTTTGATTGAATTTCCAAGCCATTTAAACATGGATGCTGTTTTACTGTAGAAATGACCAAGCTCCTATCCATCTCATTCGGAACATACACAGACGCCAAAAGGCTTTTCAATAAATTTAATTTACAGTGGCACAGGGAGGCTTTTTCAACGTTAAAAAGAAAAAATCAACTGGCAGTAAATGATGGAAATAATTAAAAAATATGCTACTGTCAGCAGGTGTAAAGTATGCTGCTTAATCAGCACAGAAGTAAAGTAATCCTATTGACTTTAATGCGAATACTCAGATGCATAAGGATAAGTATGTGTATAAATGTTTGAAGGAATAAAGCCTACATGTTCTATGAATGCTAATTCCTTAAAACTATTCCTATGAGGGGACACCCAGAATCACACTCTTTTACATTTCTATTTCTAGTTTCAGAGTAGAATTACAAAAGAGATTACGTTATAGTAGAAGCAAATACAAAGTCATGAAATGCAAGCAGCTAATATGTCTCATGTTGATTGATTAATGTTTGCAAAAACACTTCAAAGATTAAAAGAGTTAAGTAGCAATAATATTACCTGAGCCATTTTTTCCCCTGAGCATAAGTGAATATCCCTCATTTCCTGGATAGAGGTTCACAACTAGACATGACAATGTCTCCTGCATAACCAGCTTCTCAAGTAAATTCACATTTCGCCTCAGCTTCTGCTTTAAAAGTAGACAGTGCTCATGAAAACAATAATATCAATTAATAATGTTGTAGTTAACTAAAAAACATAATCAACCAGAAGATAAAATTATTAGAGAACATTTAGCATGGTGTATATCAATGTTAAAGAACACATTCAATCAAATCTTGTTCATAAAATACACATATATAGGTCTTTTAAGAAAAATCACTCACTTCTAAAATCTTTTTAAATTCATAGTTAATCTGAGTAACTATGTCACTTATCTATAACCTAGTAAAGTCTATTCTGTCCATTTATTTTATAAATCATTAAATTTGGCCAATTGGCACTTTTTGATCCTAGAATGAAAAATCCTGTGTCTTCAAAAATTCCTAACAGCAAAAGTAAAGTTTCCTTCTAAGCTTACAATATGACTATAGAGCCTGGAACCAATCCTAGCTGCACTGCCTTGCCTTGCCTAAATTTGCTGAAATCTGGTCTAACAGCCACATCAGCCTTTTCACTGTTATTTCTAAGAAGGATCTTGTTCACTAGTAATAGATATTAAGTGCATCCAACCTGTTTTCTTCCCCGAAAACATTTTTAAATGTTTAATGTTTAGCAATAAAAGTAGAGTTTGTTTTCTATGCTTGAGATCTCTTTTTTTCATTGCCTTTCTTTACTTTACAACTGAAGGTCAGGGTTAATAAGTGGAGCTGCTGCTCTGATAGCATACAGAATAAATCATCCCAGAGAACAAACAGAACCCAATGATTAACCTAATACACTCTCAGTGATGAGTGCTATTGTACTAACTCCCCCTTCTCTTCTAAGGAGAGGGCACTTAGAATACAGGAAGATGAATTAAAGAATACCAAAGTACTCTGCTTCTGTGAAGAACAAGGACAAGCAGATCAAGGAAGCCAGGATGTCATTTTAACATATCTGAAGGAAGAGTGGGGGAGGGGCAGGACTCAGGGACTTGTGCTGTTAACTAGCCTTGGGCCCAGTGCGAGGAACTAGCTTTTTCCCACAATGCTTTAATTCACAAATGACAACAAGAACTGCATGCTTTATTATTTAATACAGAGATACATACTACTAAAAGGAAAGGAGCAAGTGCAATATACAATGTTATTATTGCATGGGATCAAGGTAGGGAAGAAACTAACTCCTGGCAATAAGCAAGACCCAGCGCTGTTGAAAAGATGTAACTCCTTGGAGACTCTGTAGATGCAAAACATTCATGCTTCTACACCTGAACACAGTTCTATTCCAACTGCACTTAAGATCAGCAGCTTGCATGTGAACTAAGTCCTGTTGAGGAGCAAGTAATTCTAATCAGAGTTACTCTTGCAAGTAAGAGCTTCACGCTTGGCTCCTTAAATTAGACATTTGCGAATTCAAAAAGCTGTGCACTAAATCTTGAGCAAAAACTTCAGTTTTAACTGAAAAGAAAAATTCACCCAGAATGAAGTGCAAAGATAACTTCCCTAGCTCACTGCTTTGTCACATGACCCTCTTTTTAGATTTCCTCTACTGGCCCTCCTGCATCCAATATAGGCTACTTGTCTTCAGTTTCATGGCCAGTCATGGCTAAAGCTGCAGTCTCATTACAGGGGGTCATGGCAGGGGGTCGGACTTGATGATCTGCTCAGGTCCCTTCTGACCCTACCAACTATAAACCTATGAAACTGCTTCCAAAGAACCTCGCCACTCTCTGGACTCAATATGCAGCTTCTGAACCTTTAGCTAGGCTATGAGTCATGGAGTTAGGAACTTTTAAGCACAAGAACTCCTATTCTAAAGTAGAAAATGGCTTAAGTAGTTTGGCAAGGTTCTTTGGGTAGATGTAATATCTTTTATTAAACCAACTGAGTAGTTGGAAAAAAGTTCTTGGCAAGCTTTCGGGCGCAGTCACCCTTTGTCAGGCACAGGGAGTCTTTGCTGGTCTGAGTCTATGGAGTCAGGGTGACTGTACCCAAAAGCCTGCTAAGAATTTTTTTCCAACTACTCAGCTGGTCTAATAAAAGATATCACATCTACCTAAAGAACCTTGCCTTCCTATGTCCTTAGAGCAACATGGCTACAACCAAAAACTTAAGTAGTTTTGCAACCTGTTTTAAGCAGGAAGTGGACACTTCAGAGGAAATGTAATACATCCCAGTTATACTCCCATCCAGGCACAAGCAATTTAAGGAAGGCCCCTTTTTTTTTTTGCAATGACTATCCCACAAACAGGCTAAAACTGCTTTTGTCCGGGAAAAATTCTGACAAAATATTCTCTTCTTCTCATGGAAGGACTCTAATTTCAGAATTAAATAACCAGGTAATAGTCATCATTGGGTATACTATAGATCAAGATTTCCACAGTTATAACTAGACATTTTAATTTGGAATCATTCAGGAATTCTTCAGGAGGCTCAAAACAGCTACTCCTGTTATGTAACAGAGGATAACAACATTAAAGGAACAGACCCTTTTTAGACTCAAGGCACTCCTTGGAAGCTGCCAACTCTTAGTTTTCATTCATTTTTTGACTACAGAAAAACAATTAAACATTTTTTCTGGTGCAGAGAACTCAGAAAGAGCACAACAGGTCAGACTGTTTTTAACACTGTGAATTCTTACTGGAAATCTCTGGGTTTATCTTGTGGTTTGTGTTTGCACATGTACCAGAGGTAACATTTTGCTGCACCTTTACAAGAGTCTTACAAGAGTCTCAAGGCACCCTAGGACGCCATGGCACCCTGGTTGAGAATCACTGGAACAGAATTATAACTCTTTCTAATTCCATTTTAGTGTGTAAATACCAGAAAGCTGCAGTGATCATTCATCTAATTCAGGGCTGTCCACGGGAGAGATTCAAGGGGTTCATGAACTGCCTACAGAGCGGAAGAGCCACACATCACTGATACAGCCCACATGGTAGAGGGTGGGGGTCGGCAGCTCCCCTCTTCAGATGATGCAGACCCTTGGCCATGCCATAGTGTGACAGTTCTTCTTTGATGACAGGAATTATTCAGTGTTAAGTATGGACAAGGAATATCTCCATCAAGTGACCAAGGCAGATGTTAAAAATATGCACAAGTGGCACAGGTGGCCTCTGTACATGGTATAGGGCAGATCAGTGAAGGGACAGACAGCACAGCAGCAGATAGGGTAGGAAGCAGAAAACAAAGCAGCAGATGAGGCAGGAGAATCAATTCAGACACTCTGGGAAGGCAAACATTTAATTTGGAACGCACCTTTCAAAAGGATGACTCCCACTGCGTACATCTATATGTACACTTTACTGTGGAGTAGACTAATTAACTTTACAGTAAAGCATCACCAGCTACACATGCACTGGTATTAGGGCACAGTAAATTCATGGATTCATAGACTGTAGAGTTGGAAGGGACCACAACGGATCATCGTGTCTGACCCCCTGCCCCTGGCAGGAAAGAGGACCGAGGTCAGATGACCCCAGCCAGGTGACTGTCTAGCCTCCTCTTGAAGACCTCCAAGCTACGTGATAGCACCACCTCTTGGAAGCCCAGTCCAGATCCTGCCCACCCTTACTGTAAAAAATGTCTTCCTAATATCTAACCTAAATCCACTCTCAACTAGTTTACACCCGTTATTCCTAGTCACTCCCTGGGGTGTCCTAGTAAACAGCGCTTCCCCTATTCCCTGTTGACCTCCCCTAATAAATTTATAGGCGGCCACAAGATCTACCCTCAGCCGTCTCTTGTGAAGGATGAAGAGATTCAGCTCTCTCAACCTCCCCACTGTAGGGTTTATCATGAAGACCACTAATCGAGTGGCCCTCCTCTGGACCCTCTCCAGATTCCCCGCGTCCCTCTTGAAGTGCGGTGCCCAAAACTGGACACAGTACTCCAATTGCAGCCTGACTAATGCTGCATAGAGGGGGAGCATCACCTTTGTTCTATTAGTCATGCACCTGCTAATGCACGACAAGGTGCGATTGGCCTTGTTGATGGCCTCGTTACACTGCTGCCTCATGTTCATCTTGGAGTCAATTATGACTCCAAGATCCCTCTCTGCCTCCGAGCTGCTGAGGACACTCCCTAACCTATAGGTGTGCTGGGGGTTCCTCCTTCCCAGGTGGAGTATCTTACATTTATCTTTATTAAATTGCATCCTATTTCTCTCTGCCCATTGATCCAACCTGTCTAGGTCAGCCTGAATCTGCTCCCTGCCCTCCGGTGTACTAACTTTGCCCCATAACTTGGTATCATCAGCAAACTTGGAGAGGGTGCTCTCCACGCCCTCGTCCAAATTGCTGATGAAGATACTGAATATCGGTCCGAGGACCGAACCCTGCGGGACCCCACTACCCACCTCCCTCCAGGTCGAGAAGGAACCATCCACCACCACTCTCTGGGTGCGGTCCCTAAGCCAGTTGGCCACCCACCTGATCATGTAGGTGTCCACTCCACAGTCTGCTAGCTTCCCAATGAGGGTAGGGTGCGAAACTGTGTTGAAGGCCTTCCTAAAGTCCAGGAAGACGACATCAGCCTCGGCTCCCACATCCAGGCAGTGCGTGACCTGGTCATAGAAGGCTGCAAGGTTTGTCAGGCAGGATCTACCTCTGACAAACTCGTGCTGGTTTCCCCTCAGCATCGTTTCCCCTGCTGGGCCTGCACAAATGTGTGTTCTTTGATTATTTTCTCTAGCATTTTCCCAGGAATAGAGGCAAGACTGACTGGTCTAAAGTTACCCAGCTCATCCCTTCTCCCTTTCTTGAATATGGGCACCACATTGGCCCTTCTCCAGTCCTCAGGGACTTGGCTGGAGCACCAGGCCAGGTCCCTGGGTTAAATAAATTAACTCTGTTGTAAGATTGTACTGCCCTGGACAGTATTATCTTACAGTGCAGTTATTTACTCTGCTGAAATACAAGTGTAAACAGTGACAGGGACTGGCTGGGGCAAAAGGGTGCTAAAGCGCGGTGGCTGCCTGCTGTCTAGCCTTGCACTTTAGTACCCTCATGGTCCATCTAGCCCCTCCACTGCCCGATGCTGCCACCTG